GTTTGAGGGACAGTGAACTGGCCCCCTGTTTAAAAAGTTTGAGGACCCCTGGTCTGGAGGGTTTGACCTAGATCGGGACGGCTGCGGTGTCTCCTTGACTGCGGAGACACTGAGGATTCTCACCGTAAAACTGAGCAAGGTTTTCAGTCATGTGGGCCCTGGCACCCTATGAGAGGACGAGTGGTGGGTGAGGGACTGAAGAGCGAATAGGGTCGGTCTGTCATTCCCTTGCGCACTCCATGAGACTGTGTGGACGTGGGGGAGGTGTGAGCGTGAAAGGAAGACGCTGTGGGAACCTGCAGGGGGGGGGCGCAGCGGCTTTGTGTCAGACTGTGGCTGGCTCAGCCCTTCTCTCTTGCATGGAGAGAACTGTGTCTTCTCAGGACTGGAGGTTATGCTAAGTAATGCTGGCTCTAGTGCCTTTGACTCAATCAGGGGAAGCCTACATGAGAATCTCTTACTGACTGTAGGTTTCTGGTTATCTTGAGCACCTGCCCCAACAGGTAAGTGTGGCTTTTGGTGTCTCTCTGGGACATTACTTCCACCAGATTAAGTGAGAGAGAGCTGTGCGCATGTGGAAAGCCAAGCAGTGACTGCTGACCTGTTCTCTCTCCTGGCAGGGCAACCGCTGATGTAATCTTCCCATTCTTCCAGGTATCCGCCAGCTCCAACTCATTCTTTTGAAAGTAGCCTTGATCCTAGGCGTTGAAATCCACGTCAATGTAGAATTCCAAGGACTTGTGTATCCTCCCGAGGACCAGGAAAATGAACGTAAGTTGCTTTGGGACAAATGAAGAGGGGCAACAGGGAATTGAAGGGGTGAAAAACAATGAGATTAAAGGAGATGATTAGAGGAAATTGGGGTTGTTTTCAGAACTAGTAAAAGGAGTCCTCCATTGGGAGGCCTGCATATTGTGGGGACCTCTTCATTAGGCGAGGTCTTTGACGGCACATGCACCACTAGACACTGGATTTGTTCTAGAAAACCATCCGTTGGGAAAGTTCCCTTGGCAATCTTCGGGACTTCTCTGTGTGGTTTGTCCCCCATGCAGATCCACTTAGTGCTTGTGGCTAGAGGGTCTGTGAATCCTTGAGAATCGAGAGAGAGCCTTCGATGTGTGGATGTGATCTGGTGATGATCTTCATTTTGATTCTGGCTCACAGGGATAGGTTGGCGGGCACTGGTGCACCCCAAAACCCATCCTGTGTCAGAGTATGAATTTGAAGTGATCATCGGTGGGGATGGCCGAAGAAACACCTTGGAAGGTACTGGCCGCTGCCCCTTTGCTGGGTTCATAGCAGTGAAGGCTGACCCTGTCCCACCTCCGTGGTGAGAGTCTGGCTACTCAGTCCACGCTCCTAAGAATCTGCACGCTTGCTACATCTTCTGAAGCTCCACCCTTCCTCTGGCCAACTGGCACTTGCCTGACTCCCTACAAGGCATGCTTGTCCGGGTGCCGGGGGTGGGGGGGGTGAGCTGTACTCCATTTGGTTGGTACTGCCAGGGTTCAACATAGCTGCTGCGGCTGCTGCTTCTTTTTTTTTTTTTTTTTTCCCTTAAATGAAAATCCCTAGCACTAAATCATTCTGGTCAGTCAGGTTTCGAAATTATTAATGCTACGGAAGACTTTGATGTCTTTCCTTATATATTTGTCGGAAGGTAATCTTATAGAGCTGCCTTGACGTTTTCCCATGGATTTCCTATCCCCTGGTTTTCCTAAGTGTCCGCCTCGGTTGCTCTCATTGGAAGCCATCCCCTTCCCCCTCCCCCTCTTCCCCTCTCCCCTTTTACTAGCTGTTGACACCTCCGTGACAGTGAATCCCCCACCCCCACTCCTCCAGGATTCCGTCGGAAAGAATTTCGTGGCAAATTGGCTATTGCCATCACAGCGAACTTCATTAACCGGAACACAACAGCCGAAGCCAAGGTGGAAGAGATCAGCGGTGTGGCTTTTATATTCAACCAGAAATTCTTCCAGGAGCTGCGGGAAGCCACAGGTTGGTGGAGAGTCCCCGGAAGCATTGACGAGAGCGAGCTCCCAATGAGCACCTGCTACCTTGTCTCGGAGGCCCAGGGCGGTGGGTCTGGCTGGGGGTGCCGCGGGGTGCACACCCTGCGCTTTCTGCCGACATCGTGGCTCCCCACCAGTGTCCCTGGGGTCTGCAGTCCCTGCTCATCAGAGTGATTGGGCTGTGCTGGGGTGGTTTTTTATTTATTTGTTTTTAGATACTCATTCTGGGTTCTACCAACTCCTAGCCAGCCCCTCCCCACTGTGCAATGGCACTCCGTTTCGGTTTAGCAAGCTTTTTCGGATCTTCCCACGAAAGCTGCCTTTAGATATTGAGGATGAACATACTCTTTGTCCCAGGTTCCAGTTTGGGCTTAAAAACCAGCCTTGTGCTCAATAGGGATTAGCTTCTTTGTTATATGAGAACTTTTGCTTAGATCAGTTCGGATATTTTGCGACAAGCCAAACTTGCCTTCCTCCTCTGCGTTCTGGAGCACGATTGCTTTCCATGATATCTACTTCTTAGATTAAGTGAATCAGAGAGTCAAGACTGCGCCCTCTGCTCCCAGGCACAAACTTACCTGTCCTGTTCTTGGGCCTCTGGGGGATTTCCCCCAGCTTCCGTGAGGACTATCAACAAGCTGTAACCAGATAACCAGCTCACATCCTTTCAAGACAGTAGTGTCTTGTGGTGGTGGACCTCCCCCAGGGCATCCTGCGTTCCTGCTTACTGCTGACGTCGCCTGTGGGCTGCTCCGGGTGCCGTAGACACGTGAAGCAGAACTCCCCTTCTTTTCCTGAGCTGTGCAAGCAGGGAGGGCGGGCCTGAGTTCAGGAGTCTGTGTTACTTTGTCTTGCCCTACCTGGAGTCCTGTCCCCTAGTCTCTCGGGACCCCACGTGTGGGCATCTCAGCAGACTCTGATGTGCGCTTGGTTGTTGTCCACTCGCAGGTATCGACCTGGAGAACATCGTGTACTACAAAGACGATACGCACTATTTCGTTATGACGGCCAAAAAGCAGAGTTTACTGGACAAAGGGGTCATTCTGCACGTGAGTAATCATTTCTTTCAACATCTGTTTGTGTGGTACGGCTACTGTGCTCACGACAGAAAGGACTCTGTGACCTGGTGCGTTTTCCTTACAAGGGCACAGAAATGAAGGCCTGATGGGTCGTCTGAGAGCGCATTGGTCTGTGGTGTTTTCAGTTCAGTTTTTAAAAAGTGCTTTTTAAACGGAATTTTCCGATGTAAACAAAGGTAGAGCAAAGAGTTTAATAACCCCGCCCCACCCCACCTGTACCCCGTGAGCACATTACCTAGCTCTAACAGCTGTGAGCACCCAACTAATACTGTTAGGAGCGCAAACACAGAACACCAAACTCACTGCCCTCAAGCGGAGTCCCGCTCACAGCCGCCCTGCAGGACAGGGTTGAAGCGCGCCATGGATTTTGAAGTCTGTCCTGCTCTGAAAGTAGAAAGCCTGGTGGTTTCGAACTGTTAACCTCATAGTTAGCACTGCCCAGTACATCGCCACTATGCCACTAGAGCTCTTGGGAACCATTTCCTGTGTAAATATTTCAGTGTCATTTGGGTGACTTGGTTTGTGGCTCTAGAAATTCCATCTATGGTAAATGGTTACTTACTTACTTACTTACTCCTTTGGGGTGAGGGGAGTAAGAAGGGACGATAAGTTGACGAGGAAGCCATGATGGGTGTTTACCGGAGTCTGGCAACAGTTCTGATTTTATTGCAGATACGGTTATCAGAGGTCCAGGGAATACGTACTGAATTAGGGCGCACTCGGGCCCGGCTGGTGGTAGGGGCCGCGGAGTGGACTCTGACTCAGAGCCGCCCTCTGTACAACAGAGCACGCCACGGCTGGCCAGGCGCCGCCCTCACCCTTGTTGCAGTGGTTGAGCCCATTGTTTGGGAAGTCCAAATTGAGTCTCCCCACCAGGCAGCTCTGCGTGTTGTTCATCTGGGATGTTTAACGAAGAATCGGCGCAGGGTAGATAGTTCCTCTAGGGGGCTTTCTTAAGTTTGCTTCTGGTCACATTGGTTGAAATATATTCTCTGAGTGAGCGTTGGGTACAGTTCGCACTTCTCCGTGGCAGCGCACAGAGGGACTGTCCCCACCTGGTGAGGAGACCCCATGTGCTGACTCAGGCTTGCACCGTTCCCATAGAGACCCAGAGCCTGGTGTCAGGCAGGTCTTTGTCTTCGTGGGTTAATGAACCCAGTCACTTCGTCTAAGCGACACTGCTGCCTTATTTGAGGGCAGTGAGCTGAGGAGGGAGCCGAGGAGCACGTGCCCAGAGCACAAAGTTGTGTGTCTCTCAGCCCAGTGCTGGAAGGAGAAACAAGATAAGGCTGTCTGTGCAGCCCATTCTGCCCAAAGCATAGCAACATAGAGGGGAAGGAGTCAAGAGTGTAGCTACAAAATCACAGAAGTATCCAAATGGGAAGCGCTTGTTTCTCCACGTGCCCCCCACCAGGTTGGTAGACTTCTGCAGGCAGTGTTTCCATCTCTCTGACCCTTCCTCAGAAATGCCTCCACCGACCAACCGGGTGTCCAAAAGACTGTTGTGGCATCTTCAGGGGACTCAAGTTGTGTGCTGCCTTTCAATGTTCTCTGAGTCTGGGGAACAGAGACGCCTCCATGGGCAAGGTCGGGGCTGGGCAGCCCTTGTTGCCCCACAGGAACGAGCAAGTTCATTGTTGGGAGGAAAGCAGTTTTCTCGCGATCGAATGCAGATTCCATTTTCTGCGAACTTCTTACAGGAACCCCCATGATTACTCTGTGTCCTTGCGGAAAAGCACTGTTACCCTCTGGAAATCCCCTAAACAGTTACCCTCTTTCTGAACTAACCTCTCTGAGTTCAACGAGCGCAGCAGATCCCCCTCAGAAGCTACTGTTTCCATTGGACCCTGCCCTCTGGATTATATTGGTTGATCCAGCACACGTTTCCTCAGTACAGTTTGTTCCATAAGACTGGCTGCATCACCTGTGGTCTTGCTCCAGAGGTTGGCAGAAAGACCAGTTCTTGGAGCTCACTGATCTACCCATGATGCTTTGGGCTCCTTTGGAGCAGAAAGCGTGTGGTTTAAAGGCTTAAAGTGCCAAACAAGCAGCTGTTGTGGCCATGGCATTTCCACCGTCTTCCTTCCCAAATTTCTGGACTTCACACACAAGGTTTTTCCGTTCGTAGAGCTTGATGGTGCCCATCTTTGAGGTCTTCGCAACCTTGGTCAGTGTTACATTCCTCTAAAATCTATTGTTTCACACGGGGCAGCAGTCTGTAAACTTGTTGCAAAGCTTCCGTGACTCGGAACAATGTCCAGTTGAGTCTTAACTAAAAATTTGATGTTAGTCCTGACCTCAGAATTGTGGGGTTCTGTTTTGTTTTTACCCCATGGCACAAGAAAGTTTTCTTTTGTCTATTTATTATTTTAAAGTAAGCACCCTAGCAAGACAAGTTGTCTTCCTCAGAGATGTGTTTAAACGTGCTTTGTGTGGAACAAGCCCAGGCTGTGTGAGCTGGAACCCGCAGCAGCACTACGTTTTGACTTAGCCTCCTGTTTGGTTGGCTGCTCTGTCAAATGGATGCACAGACTAGTTTGAGCTGTCATTGCTTACCCAGGGGATGCGCCCCGTGACACCAGCTGCGTGCCCCCTGAGACTTACATCTGCCATCTCCGGCAGATGATGGTTAACAGTTGAGGGGCCACGACCAGATTACCCTCTCGTTTATTTTCCTTGTGGGCAGAGACCACGTGCTGCTCGGTGTTGAACAAACATTTTCCCACACCAGCTCCCATGTTTGCATTCTGACTTTTAACATGCTGTTGTAGTAGCGCCAAGTGCGCTCTGGGGCACTTGGGAACCTGAGGCTCCACTTCAGGGCACTCAGGAGTTGGCTGTGTATGCCACCAGCCTCCAGGACAGAAAGAGGAGGGTTTCGGCCCTTGATGTGGAAAGCTCTCCTCAGTGTCCTCCCTTGTCGACGGGTTTCTACATAGAGCCTTGCAGGGTGAGGTAGACCACGTGTTTTGAAAATCTTTGTTCTCGGTTCCAGTCATTTCTTCCCAACCTCCTGGGCCACGCTCGCTCCCACTGCCACATCTTTGGGCCTGACTCTGGGTCCTTCCTGTAGGTTTGCTGATTGTGCAAGGCCAAGCGTTCCTCATGGCCCCAACTGCCAAACAAACAAACAAACGTGTGCCCAGGTCACATGGCTGGTAATAACAAGCGGTCACAGAGCCCCTCCGACACACGGTTCCCTTCGTTTTCAGACCACCCTGCGCGGGAGATAGGGAGGCTCAAAGAAGTCGTGATTTGTGTGGGACGCGCATGGAACGAACAAGCCAGGACGGCACGTTTGCAGGGGGAGCGCAGTACCTGGGCTTCCTCTCAAAAACGTCCCTTTTCTTTTTTTAATGCACGGAAAGGTTCCGTGTTGGGGTGTTCATGTCACCTCAGGGGGCAAGGAAAGGCTGTGAGTCTGGGTCATGTCTCATCTATCTGGATCTGCCTGGACTTTCTCATCGTGAACTACCCTCCCCCACCCCCCAATTTCTCTCGACAGGACTATGCAGACACAGAGCTGCTGCTTTCCCGGGAGAACGTGGACCAAGAGGCCCTGCTGAACTACGCCAGGGAGGCGGCTGACTTCTCCACGCAGCAGCAGCTGCCGTCGCTGGACTTCGCCATCAATCACTATGGGCAGCCGGACGTGGCCATGTTCGATTTCACTTGCATGTACGCCTCGGAGAACGCTGCCCTGGTGCGGGAGCAGAACGGACACCAGTTGCTGGTGGCTCTGGTTGGGGATAGCCTCCTGGAGGTGAGGACCAAGGGCGCAGCGCTTTGTGGTCGAGGCCATCCATGTCGGGTGGAGGAGTGAGGCTCTGTTGTGATGCAGGCATGCACAGGCACGGGGGAGGGGGGGTACACACACACACACACACACACACACACACACAAATCCCCATGGGAGGGCTTGAGGCTCCCGGGGGTCCCAGGGTTACTAGTGATGGATGGAAACTGTCCACTTCTGTGACTTGCCCCCTACCGATTTGTGACCTCGTGAAGTCCAGCGGCACACACTCGTGCTCCCTCCTCTGTTGTTTGCCTTCTGAGTTCCAGAAGGTGGTTTATGTTGGCTTTTGTTTCCGGTCTCCTCCGCAGCCTTTCTGGCCAATGGGCACAGGAATCGCCCGGGGCTTTCTAGCTGCCATGGACGCTGCCTGGATGGTACGGAGCTGGTCTCTGGGGACAAGCCCCTTGGGAGTCCTGGCAGAGAGGTAACGGCTCCGTCTGTGAGCGCACGCGGCCGGTGGGGGTGGGGAGCTCTGAAGGCCAAGTGTGCGGCACCTGCTTCCTCTCTGAGCTAAAGATGTCGTCCTGGGGAGGAAGGAGAGGCAGGCATTAACTCATACAATCACAGAAACGGCAAGCTGTCTCGCCTAGCTGCTGTCCTCTTGACCCATTTCAAATTGTATTTGCCATTACATTCCTTTGTTGTTGTTTTTCATCCATTTTTCCACAAACGCTTTGAATCCAACTCGTTCATGACGGTTACGTGAGCAAGTTGACGACACCAGTACACTAGATCCTCTTGCCCGTCCGCCCAAAAGACAGATGGTAGTGAAGCCAGAGTGGTAGCAGGGGACGTGCCGACACAGCCTAAATGACAAGCGCCTTTGGGGTGAAAGGCACCACTCATACACCACACGCCCCGAATGTCCTGAGGCGGACTGTGGCAGAGGTGGTCAAAATCCAGAGACTTGCTGGCTGAGCAAGAGCTCATGCCTGGGACACCAGAACTAGAGAGGGGAGATTTCCTGGGGAAAGGGACAGCTGCAGACCATTTTAGATCGGTTCTTTAAGGTGTTCTGGTAAAGTTGGTAAGAAGTTCCTGTTTCATTAGTGACGTCCTTAAAAACAAAAGTCTATATTGGCATGCTCTTTTAAAATCAACCAGCAAATGAGTTGCCTTTTACATTAGAGCTAGCATCTGTCTATTGCCCTTAGCCGTGTGCGAGCTGTTCTCCTGGCCCTGAGCCCCTCCAGTCCCTGTGGGATTACTGCGGGGTGGCGGGTATGGGAGGAGAGGGCCAGTGCAGGATTGCTAGAAACCTGACGGTCAATCAAGAACGAGTGTCTGTGCTGTCCTCCTGGTAATTTGATGGGCTGTTGAAAATTAGAACTCCTATAAAGGAAAGAGATGTTTATGATGCTGATCCCTGCTCTGAGCATTCTGTATGTCCTTGTACGGAAAGCATTTATAGGCTACTGCCTCAGACCACCCCTGAGAATGTGAGTAAAAACTTCAGCCAATACAGCATCGACCCTGTCACCAGGTATCCCAACATCAACATCAACTTCCTCCAGCCAAACCAGGTAAGAGCCAGCTCGTCAGTTCCCTCCGTCTGAGCCCACTTGGTGAGCACTTCAGACCTCTGTGAGGTGTGTGAGATGTGTATAGATGTGAGCTCGGAGCACATACATACCACGGCCTTCTGCCGTTATCCAACTAGCTGTCCCTCCGAATCCACTGCGGCGAAACTGGTTTCCGTCAGCAGACCAGGCAGCTCACACAGAGAGTTATTGAAGGCCAGAGTTGACAGGCGTGTAGGGTCCAAGACATGATGGCACACCTCCTAACCCAGATTGTGTGTTAGAGGGAAAGAGCACTTGTTTGTGCAGTAGCCAGGAAATGCAACTCCCACAGCCATTTTTGCTGTGAAATCCCCTGTGACTTAGGCTCGTTCATTGTGTCTGAACCTCAGTTTCTTCACCTGTCAAATAGAGGCACTAACCCTTGCCTATGCACAGGATCTCAAGTCAAAAGAGGTTGGGAATGTTGAGAGGTAAAACAGCAGACAGAGCTGAGACATGGGGGTGGGCACCAGGAGTGGGAGGGAAAGGGGGAGCAAGGAGGAGCCAGAAGCTGAAGCAGAGGTTCCCAAATTTATTTGGCCTACTGCCCCCTTCTCAGAAGAACAAAAGGCAAAAATTACTCAGAGCCCTCCGTGGCAATTAAAAACACTGGTACTGTAGCCCGTAATCCAAGATAAAGTATAAATTATCTGTTTTTGCAGCCCCCTGAATCGTCCCAGAGCCCCCCAGTGGGCCGTATCGCCCATTTTGGGAAACACTGGCTTAGAGGTAGACAGATGTTTACCTGGGTGCAAGGGAAGACGATATCCAACAAGAGGGAGGCGCTCACCAAATGACAGAACCCGGCAAGCCAGTGGGGAGCTTGGTCTGTGGACTGTAAAAATGACAACCTTGTGAAAGTGGTTATAGTAGTCAGTCTACTCTTAGATAGGGAATTTGTTAACCTGCATTTTATTTCCTTCTTTTTCTACCTCCAAACTTTCTGTCAGGTGCGCCATTTATATGATACCGGGGAGACCAAAGACATTCACCTGGAAATGGAGAACCTGGTGAATTCCCGAACTACCCCCAAGTTGACCCGAAATGGTGAGTTCTGGTGACGCCCTTTGGAAAGGCCGGGTGTCTTGTCCAGAAAGGTCTGTCCTCATTCTTTGTGCAGTTAATTTGTGCAGTACTGTCTAAAGCAGTAAGGATCCCTGGTAGCTCTGTGAGTTAGGCATTGGGCTGCCAGCCACGAGACTGTAAATTCAAACTCGCCAGCTGCTCTGTAACAGGAAGATGAGGCTTGACTGTTCCCGTAAACTGTGTGGTCTGGGAAACCATAAGGAGCAGTTCTACTCTGTCCTATAGGTCCCAATGAGTTGGAATCAATGCATTCACCGTGAATTTGGTTTTTGGTCTAAAGCAGTGGTTCTCAACCAATTACGATTTTATCCCCCAGTTCCCCCTGACATGGGGACATTTGGTGATGTCTAGAGACCTTTTCAATTGTCATAACACAGGAAGATGTTAAGACAGACGTGACTGTCATGCCAGAACCTACTGGCATCTAGTGGGTAGAGGCCAAGGCTGCTGCTGAATCTCCTACAATGTACAAGAGACAGGTCCCCACAACCAAAAATAACATGGCCTAAATTCTAAGTGATGCCGAGCAGCCCCAGTTTGAGGTGGTAGGTTGTTGAATGCTGCTTAGTGGATTCCACCGCTTAGTGACCTTGTATGACAGAGAAGAACTGCCGCGGAGAGCTTTCTGGGCTGTCCTCTTTTGGAGAAGAGATTGCCAGGTCTTTCTCCCACGGGGCTGCTGGTAGGCTCAAACGGTTGACTTTGGTGAGCAGCCAAGCGCCTGAACCATCGGGCCACTAGGGTTCCTAAATACCCAGGCCGCCCCTCCAGAAGGTGAAGAGTCAACTAAGGCTATTGGGGAAGGTTTTATGACATGGGGGCATTTTAGCTGTGCCCTGGGTCATGGCCAGGATACAGAAGGCTATGGTGTGCATGAAAGGTCCCCAGTAGATGATGATGATGATGATGATGATGATTTATTTGAAGAAAGTGACAGCTGTTCATAAAGATGGACCCTTGAAGGGCAATGTCAGATGTAGAAAGACTAGTTAGAAGCACATGGTAATGAAGGCCTAAATCCGATACTGGGGTGGAAAAAGGCGATGCAGTGGAGTAGAATGAGAACCCAGACTCTAGGGCCAGATGCCACTGGGTCCCTGTCCAGGCTCTGCCATTTGTGCCACGGTGGCCTTGGACAGGCTGCTTAGCATCTCTGAACTTCAGTGACCTCGTCTATGAAGTCAGAGTGGCAGTCCTTGCCGCACAGTGTGTTTGTGAGGATCCCCTGAAGTGGTGAGAGCACAGCACAGTGCCTTGTG